TCGAGTTAACCATCTACTATCCCACATAACTAATATCCCACCCGAAGATCCTATAGCATTCAAAGCCTCCCATTCCACAAACCTTCCTCCCCACGAACTCTTAACCTCCCTGTCAGTAATGGATGCCAGCTTGGTTTCTTGTAAGCAAACCAGTTGGGCAACTCAATTCCTTAAAGCTACCTTCACCACCCTTCCCTTGTTCGGATCATTAAGACCACGAACATTCCATGAAATGATTTGTAGCTTCATTGAAAACCAGATAAAATAATCTCCCCTCCACCCTTCTTGAGACTCCTGCTCCTGGTTTTTCCCCTTTCCTTCACCACTCCTCCTTTGCCTTCGTAGTTGACTTCAGAAATGAGATTCTTTATCTCCTGTACTCCTTTCCAAGATGATAAAGGCTTCGTGTTAATAACTTCATTAGTCACTGCAACTTCTCTCCCTTCCACAATTGTATGAAGGATAGATAATGTCTGGACATCATTACCCTGTGAAGAGACTCCCAGAAGCTTACTAGTGACTCCAATATTGTCAACTACCCAATCTTTCCCCATATCAACACCCTGTTCATCGGGTCGCACCATAGCTAGTGGTGTCTCCTGTAAGATTTCAGAATTCTTCTCCACCCAAGGTGTAAGCTCATTGGAGCATACCTGTTGAATAGAACCTAGATCATCAAGCACTTCTTCTTCCAGCTCCTTATCATTTTCGTAAAAAGAATCAGAATCTGAAACAAAGTCAGTCCTATCATTCTCTGTGTGAGGCAAGCAATTAAGACCTTTCAGAGCGACACTTAGTCGAAGCTCTTTAAATAAAGCTACAGCCTCTTCATTGGACAACTGGAAGTGGAGGTCTCTGCCCACGCATACTGTAATCCCTTCAGATAGTTTCTGAACAGCACAATCAGCAATTTTCATCTGCCTAGGAGCGATAGTCTCACTCTCCTTCATACCTTCCGCATTCAACCCAGAATCAATTCCATCATTCGTGACAATCAGCTCACTACTCTTCTCCAATTCCGGCCCAACACTGGCACTCCTCAACACACAAGAAGGGGTAGAAGAAGAGGATGGGACATTAAAATTCTGAGGATGTGAAACTGATGGCATACCTGGATCACTGGTAGAGGTCCACTTTTGCTTCTCTTTTCGAGACCATCTAACTCCTTGACGTTTTCTGTTGGGGTCCCGGGACAAAGACCTAACAGTTCTTCCTTTCGGCTGGAAAGTTTTAGAGAAAGATGACGATGAGAAGTCTGCACAACATTGAGAATGGCGAGAACCCAATTCGACAGGACCACCACCAGTCGCTATACCCGAAAATTTCAACCATTTTCTCTTTTCCTGAGAGTTCCAGAAAATTACAGATTTATCTTCAGGCCTCTGAAAGTGACTGACTCCTTTAGAGGTAAGTGAGCTGGGCTTGGGGTTGATAAAAGAAACTAGAACATTATTTCTGGGCTCCCTTAAGACCTTTCTCTCCAAATTAATCCCGTTTGGTCCATAACTTAAAGTGGACTTTGGGCCTCGATGACCAGCCTTCTGCAGCTCCTGTGGGCCGTGTTGAACAAGCAACCCAGATGACGATATAGGCCCGTAGCCCAATTCAGTTCCACGCCTAAGCCCATTAGAATTCATAGCAGTAAAGACTCCATTAAGAACACAATCTTTGCCACGTGGTTGGTATCCGTTAGCGCGGATATTACGAGGGAACATATGGCGATGACTAAGGACTTGATTGGCCCCTCGACGCGCTTCAGGCGCGTGCATAGGCAGACATCTCTCTCCTTCGACGCCATGGTAGATTTGTGCTTTCCGGCGATTTCCTCCATTTGCAACAGCCGGGATATGTGACTCCTCAACGCCATAGTAAGATTTCGGAAGGATACAAGGTGTTATTTCCTCGATTAAGTTGACCCTGTAAGCCACTCGTTGGTCCTCAACAAAAACGTACTCCGGCAACACTTTCCCGACAGATTCATAGAGAAGAATTCGCTGTCCACAAACCGAAACATCGGCCTCAACTCCTCAGAATCCACCACATAAATTCCCAATTGCTTCGAAAAGCTTGTTGCACCAGAGATGGAGGGGTAAACCAAACAGGATCACCCGACGTATGACTCGTTCTTTTACAGCAGAACAGCCGGCGGCGAAGTACCAAATATCGATGGATAATAAAGCATCACCCCATCTTTTCCTTCCTTCGTCCAACACCTTTAATGCCTCAGCCTCCGAAGGAAACCTGAACAAAAGTAGATCATCAGGTAAAGGAGATACTTTCACCCCACGTGAGACCTTCCAAGTTTTCGACGCCCATGCCTCAATCCCTTCAAGACACCCCACGTCTCTGTCAAAGCGACCAACAAGGCATGATCGCAATACAGATTCGCGCTCCTGAATGCTTTGATGATCAACCCGATAAACCAGATCATTGCCTATAGAGCAGCTTTTGATTTCCCCGTGAAGATTAAGACATGGTAGGGTCGCAACGCTAAGATAGGAACGATGCATGTCACGATTCCTTACCAGAGAACGAAGAACCAGTGACAGGCAAAAAACGGTTGTGCTGACATGGCAACTTATAAAAAAAAGTCTGAAATTATTGCTTTGTGTGTTGTTATTGACTTTTTATGAACTTGAAGTTCCATATTTTGACTGAGCATACCTTATTTTTCTCATTTACATTAGTATAATTATTTTGTCTATAGACTTTATTAATATCTTCTTTGACAATAAAAGTTCCTTTTTTGTCAATAGAAGAAGGCTGGTTATAAGCCTTGGTTTCATATTTGGAACCGGTTTCAGGGTCAACCTTTTTTAATATTAAGGCTTCAGTAGGTTGGGATGGACTGAGTGAATAATTTTTTTCTCTTTCGTAGTCCATACTTTCAAAAAATCATCCAGAATGTTTAAGTTCATTATGGAATGATTAGTGATACAAAACAAAGAAACAAAAGGTATAACCTCTTTGTTCTTAGTTAAATAATCATAAAATTGAGTTTTAAAAGGCTGTAATTGCTCTTTATTAAACTCATTAAAATACCAAGTTTTGAATTCTCGGTATTGGTCCTGCTGAAATTCAGCATTAATGGCTTTTCTATCAATTGTAAAATCCATTAAAACTAATATTCACCCATTTCTGAAGCGGAGGATCAAATTCCACACCAAATTCCCGAGGTACGGTGCTTCTCTTTGGCTGATATACACCATGTGGAATCTCCTGTGCAGATTGTTGAATTCCCTGCAATCTGACTTCTTCGGACACTCTTTCTTCTGGTTTAAGATCTTCAGTCCTAAAATCTGAAATAGAATGTCTAGAAGATGGAGGGAAAGAGATCTTATAAGGAGGATTAATTCCTCTAGATGGTGTATTTCTGAATAAATCTAGAGATCTTCTAAAATTTAGAAGAACATCACCATCCTGATCTTGGATTACACAGTCCAAATTCCTATTTACAATAGGCTTTGGAGGAACTGCATTCTGAATTTTCCAATGTTCAGGAAATGTTACTTCACTCCAAGGAATCAACCTCTGAGTAGCAATGTTTGAAGTAAACATATTAGTTTCCCATAACACTGTTTCTCCTGGTTGGCTTTTGTTTTTAGCCTTTGGACATAGGGTATTTAATACCTTATAATGAATGCGATAAATTACATTTATCACTTCAGATCCAGGTAAGAAATTATATCCATGAGTTTGAATACGAAGACTTGCTGCTTCATATATGTTCGTATCCATTAAGGATAGATTCAAACCAGGATATACATCAAAGTAAACCGGTCCATGACATAGACTGGTTTCTAAAACACCCATTAATGAAGGGAGATAATCCAAATACCTAGCATCTCTAAGTGTTGCTTGGATACAAGCATTCATGCCAAGTAATGTCATAGGTTTAAAAGCAATTTGTATTAAACCAATATGTATATACTTATAGTTCCTCATATATCTATGAAGATCCCGTGGAGACAATAACCTAATTATTATGTCCTTTTTACTCAGTTGCATTGTTTGTTCCATGGACTTTATTACCCATCGATCAACAATATTAAACATTCCAATCTTGTAAATGCTATTAGCCCTTATAGGAGGAATAGTCCATTTGTTCAATTTATTTTGAACATTTTCATATTCAATTAACTCTGAATTTTTAATTAATTCAGAATCCTGTAATTCCATGTGGCAAGAAGAAGGATTTAACATGAATGTTAAAATATTGTTAATGCTTAAGGACTAAATAGTATAATTATTAGACTATTATATAATGAATAGTGACTTATTATTCTGTCTTTGTTCTTCTTAGGAGTGACAATATTACTCATCTGTCAACGGTTTACTGGAATCATTGACCTATGGAGCAATTTAATGCAAAAGTTGGTCTTAATATTCCAATGCGACTTTTGGACGACCCATAATATCATCAGATTTAAACAGAATTTTAACAGAATAAGAATATCATTATTGTCTACATAATTACCATAATATTCATGCTACCAGAACCTAAAAGCATTAACAATATGTAAAAGATACCAAAACACTTGAATGCAAAAAATACTAAATAATACCAAAAGCATTAACAAAACACGTAAATGGATCTTAAAATACAACAACAAAGATAATGCAAAAGTTGATACCAAAAACACGTAAATGCAAAAAATACTAATAATAATAATTGGGCCAAAGTCCAAATGAATCTTGCTATGCTTGACTGACATGTAAAACTTAGCATACCTGGCTCTCTGAATGACATCCAATTAGATGCATACCAGTTGTACTGCTTGTTTGATCTGCATTTATATTTTTATTGAAAACTTTAGTACTCTAATCAGTTTGTGGAACTAAGCACACTTATTCTACGATAATCGTATTAAACTTCATAAGCAGTAGTTTTGTAACTACAGTCATTTCATATAATCTGTAACTTTATTTCCGAATAAATTGCTTGACTGTTTCTTTTTCGCGTCCTTTTTTTCTTTTTTTGTTTGTTCTTTTAATTGCAGATTAGGTGCTACCCCAATTATGGAGCTGATGATTGCTGCTGGAAAAGCAGTTTATAGATTGCAGCTGGAGCATGGACTCGCTGTTGATAGAGTCTATACAGGATCATTTATGACTTCTCTTGATATGTCAGGTTTGTTAAATTTGCAAGCGCTCTGTGTTTGTTGGACAAAATATGTTTCTCAGTTGTGTTTCTGGCAGGATTTTCAATTTCCGTCATGAAGGCGGAGCAAGAAATTTTACGATGGTTGGATGCTGCAACCAAGGCGCCATATTGGCCTGTTGGTGTTGATGGTTTGTGATTATATTGAATTATATTCCTGTTTTTTTGTTCTCTTCCTCTTTTCAGCCTTAATTTTACTTTTCAGAGGCAGTGGCTTTGTAAACAGATTACCAATATTGCTCTGGTTTACCGGCACCTGGATAATTTACATACTCCCCCCCCCCAACAAACCATCCCAATAAAATAAAATAAAATAAACATTTGAGCGCAGGCCTGAGAAATTATATTTTCTTGCAGGCAATCACCCACCTGCCAAGATACCTGTCCCAATTCCTCCATCTCGTTCAACAAAAAATGATGAGGTGTGCTTAATAATAATTTTGTTTTATTTTATGTTTAATTTCAGAGGAATTTTATCTTACAGTACTGTACTTTCTAAGACGCTATTTGATCACATTCAAACTTTTCAATATTTCTGGTATCTGTTGAATGTGAATTTGGTTCAACTGTTTGACATGCTTCAAACTTCAGTGGTAGGATGCTTTTGTAAAGGTATCATGTATGACATCCTTACTTGTTGCTGTTGGTGTCTCTAAAACAAAGTCAATAGACAAATATGATGATATCATAAAAATAAAAATAAAATAAAAAACTACCTGGTTTGAATTTCTAAATAAAGAAATTTAGCATAAATTAACCTCCATAGGGGTTCTAAGTTTATTTAATTTTTAATATTTTTCATCCGTACATACCTACCAACAAAAATTTCCCCCATATACTAATATTTATATTTGGCTTTTGAGCTTCAGAGAGAAACATAGTTATGTAGGAAAATAAGATTACATTCATTTTTAGCTAAGAAAACTTTATTCAGTCTTTTTACTTTCCCTTCATATGCTAATATTTCGTTTTTTACATCTTAAGCTTCATAAATCCTAAGTCATGCAGGAAAATAAGATACCTACATTAATTGTCAATTAAAAGCATGAATACAAATACCAGATACGGACAGGCATGCACAAGTTTAGTTGACATGGTGAATTTTAAAGAATTAGAAGACAGAGTCGCAGACATGGCAATGAAGCGACAATAAAATATACATTTTTATATATATAAAATCTGTATTATATGCAACAAATTGTACCTCATGACAAATAAATCTAATTTACATGATATCAATTACATAACAATAAATGTCAATCATTATCATAAGGACATGAGTACATAACATATACGTATTTGTGTGTGTTTGCATTTGTATAGTGGTATATACATATTTTACACACAATTTGATGACTCCTCTTGTACTCCTGTGTGGCTATGCACATTCCTTTGATAAAGTCTTTCTGTTGTGTTCTTTTTCCTTCAAAAGCATGGTCAAAGTTTTTATAAAATTCATAGAGACCTTTATAATGAAAATGTCTTGCAATTGTTATTTTTCTTATAAGTGAACTTTTATTAAATGGTGCTCAAAGATGAGCTCTAGAAACAAGTATACAAAAGAATACAACCCTATAATTTCATACTACTCAAAAAATTTACTAACTCCTCTGCAGATATACACACCCCCCTATAACTCAGAGAAGAAGAGAGCTCAGAATATGGTGTTTCAGCACCCAAATCGGAGCTTCCTTACCATCAAAAGACGAGCTACTGATACATAAAGGACCCACCCTCCACTCATCTTGAGCATGTCTCCCCAATAGGCATCCCTCCAAGACTCGAGAACCTCTATTGCACAACCTGATAACCTACTGCACCTCCAACACAGCAAAAACATACCTCAAACGTCCCTAGCAACTGGGCAATGCAATTTTTCCTCCCACCCTCTCCCTAGTCTTTCCAGTGTCTAGATTTTATTGGTCACATGTAAATGTGTCCGAAGAAATATAGACTGTGTCTGAAATTAATAGTCTTGTTCTTATATAATATACACATTCGAAACATGTCAGATACGAAGTGTGTTTTACACGTCTGACATAAACAACACTCCTTGAAAGCGTTATTGCTTCTTGGATTGATAGTGGGCAATGGTGGCGACTAGGCGAAATTATGGTTTTTGCTGTAACAAGTGTTTTCTGTTTGACAAGACAAAGATTTGATCAAAAAGGAGGGCCAACCCTACTCCCAACAGCCAGTGGAAGCGTCTATTTTCCATTCTTCATCTCCGCAGTGCGTTCCTTGGAGGAGACAATTCTCGTTTAGTAACCTCTCTAACTTTTCTGATTGTGCTAGGGATGAAGTAGCAGATTGTAGAAGAAGACATTGCTGATGAAGTGCAGTATTGGCAGAATTCTGGGGGGGCTATGTTTTGGGGAAACGTCTGTACTTTCTCTTCTTGAAAGCATTACTGCAACGGGTGTGGAAGCCAAAGGGTGACTTCAATGTCTTAACACTGAAGGATGGTTTTTTATCGTTTGATTTTCTTCAAAAGATGAAGTTGAAACTGTGCTACGGTAAATCCACACATCTGATGACAGGCCATTGATCTTAAAGTGTTGGAATCAGAATGTGAGTCTTGATAAGGAAAACCCAGGGAGGTAGAGGCTACTTCTAATCAATTGGAGAAGGAAAATGAGTGCGTAAGTGTCTACTTCTCCTTTGAGGACAGAAGTTGAAGTTCAGAAGAATTCTATGACAAAGAATTCCAGAAAAGGAAAAATAGTGGTGTAACCTAGGGCGACTAGAACTATGGCAGCTGGTGTAGTTCTTCCACACTCCTCTCAAGCTTAATGGTAAGCTATTGAAATGTTAGGGAGGGCCCCAATGCAGAAAGAGGTAAGGAGTTGGATTGATCCTACTAAATTAAACTTTGTTTGCCTTCTTGAAATTAGAGTTAAGGAGAATATGTTTCAATTAATTTCTAATAAATTGAAGCCTACATGTCAGTGGATAAATAATTACCAGGCTCGTCAGTCATCAGACTCATCACTTAGGAAGGATTTGGGTGGGTTGGAACCCAGCTGTTTTCCTTGTGGTTCCTTTGGATATTGCTGATCAATGCATGCTCCTTATGGTCATATCCGTATGCAGAAACTGTTTTAATCTCCCCTATCCATGCCTTGAATATATATATATATATTTCATAAAGGAGGTGATTCCATTGAAAGATATTGACCAATCAGTTCAATGGATAAAGGGAGGGCATTCCCTCCTTGTACATCAAAGCAAATAAAGCAAATAGAAAATGACCACTTCAATAAATTTGGAAGCTTATAAAAACTTGAAAACCAATAAGCCTTAGAGTAAGCACACAAATCATCAGTAAAAGAAATAGCAGCAATGTCCGTGATTTCAAAGACAATATCCCTAGCCACCTCTAATGGAGTCCTTTGGCAATCTTTATGTAATCTGATGTTCCTTTCAAGACAAGTAGCCCACACTGTAGTAGAAGAAAGCATAGAAAATCTGTTGGAAGAATAAGCCTTCTGAATACTCCACTGAATAAACTCATCAAATGTTTGACAGTTCATATTCCACCCGTAGCAAGAATCAAACCACTCCCAAATAGTTTTAGCAAACACGAATTCAAAGAGCAGGTGTTTGTTGCTATCATCATTTTGGAAGCAGTTAGGATATGCTGCTGCAATAGACCAGCCCCTCTTCTGAAGATTAACAAGAAGGGTGCTTAATATGCTGGACAATATAAGTAGTGAAATTAGTTCTAGGCCTGGCTCTGTTCCAGCATAATTCCATCCAAGGAATCCCATCATGATGAATTCTGCACGCATCCCAGGCCCTTTTAAAACCAAACTTACCATTAGTATCAACCCATTGACCCTCACTCCCAGTTCCACGAGTCCTATTCTCACCAGATTCACATGCACAATGTCATGATTTACTAGCAAAGCCAAATAAAGTAATCTCCCTCCCCAAGCTGCCCAAATCACTGTTATGACCACTGCTGCCACTATCCCCTCCCACCTCATGTTGATTAGTTCCCATCCACATGTTGTTGTCTCTAATGCCACTTTCCTGGGATCTTAAAATCCCTCTAGGGGTAATGGTTATCTCCACGTGATAATCTGAATCTTCCCTAGATCAACAAACTGATCATGCCCCTCCCCTCACCATATAACAAACACCCCCCCCCACCCCCGCCCCCCGCCCCCAAACACCCCCCACAAACAAAAACTCGTGGACACCAGTCCCACAACCACCATTGCCACACCTGTTGGTGGAAGGCCCGACACTACCACTGGCACCCTCTCCAACTTTTTATCTCTTTTTGCACCTTTTCCCAAAGTAGAGGCGAATCAAAGTGGTAATATTGAAGTTCATATTGACTTTGTGATTTGAGACAATTATCTATTTCGCGTGTCTAAGCTATGCGTTGGAATGACATGTAGGATGTAATGCGGGTCAATTTGATAGTGAAACGATAGTTGCATTAGTAGAGGCAAATCATGTGCGGTTCAAGCTCTCGGGATGTGTTTTGGTCTTTATCAATTGAATAACGAATATTAATCAAAATGTCTTCTCAGTGTGCCAAGCCCTATATATAAGCAATAAATAAAACCCTAAAATAAAAATATATGGAAATAGCAGAATAAAAATAAAAATATTGAACCTAGTTACATGAAATCCCAAATTTTATTATACTTTGCCCCTTCTCCAAAAGTAATGGTGAATTACGTGCAATTAAAGCTCTGAGGTCGTATGTTGGCCGCCTTCAAATAACGGTTCCACTTTAATTGGTGACAATGTTTATGATCTATGTTACTTGGACTCCAGTACTTGTATTGGGTGCAGCTACATGTCTGATTGTCAAACATCCCTAATCACGGATTTTAGAATACATTGACTCTGCTTGAAACGAGTCCAAAAATTGGAATTATGGGACATTTTGCATAATTAAAAACACATTGTGCTACATAAAAATGTTATATAACATACTATTATTTTTAAAAAATATTCAATAATAAGTTAACTTAAATGAAACTAAATGGAATATGGTCAAATGAAGAGATATTGCACCTGTGATGTTGTGGTCTGAATTTGGTGCTGGGTCAATTGAGCTTTGTGTGGGCCTAAGCCCACCAAAAATTTTGACCCCTTTTTTGCTTGCAGGTCGTGGACCCTATTTAGTACTCTCTTGTAGCCTGATATATAAGGGCACTTAAGTTTTGGAGTGGGATTATTAAGAGGTTTTCGTGGATGTAGGCTTTGCTGAACCACGCTAAATCTTTGTGTGTAGCGTATTTACTTTCTGTCGTGTTTCTTGGTTGTTTCTTGGGTTCGCAGCGTTTGTCGTAACAACACCTATCTCATTAGGGAAGTCTATTTGGCTATCAAATTTGAGTAATTTTTCTTCTTCCTTTGTCATTATGTGTGACGGGCATATATTTCATACCCATGTCCATTTGTTGTCATTAGTGGAATGAGAGTGTATAAAAAGCATTGTTTATGACATGTCACGTGTAGAAGTTGCTATTTCCCACCCTTCTTTCCTGCGAACTTCTCTTTTAATGGCATGTTACAGAATGTGTCTTAAAATATATACGACAAGAACATGACTCCCACCAAAAAACTGTTATTGGGAGCTGTTTTGTTTTAAATGTCTACCCCCATATTTTTCACAACTCAGCTTAACAAACAAGGCTTGTTACATGAATCCTTTTCCTTGTTAGCTCAATTAGGAGTCATTACATATTTTAAAGGCAATTTGTTCATTTAAAGTTGTAACCAAATTATAATGGATGAGAATGAACAGAAGAACCATTATTTTAGAGCTTCAAAACTAGAACATTTTGATTAGACATGGGCGTAATAGTTCTATGTCCATTGCTTTATAGACTGAAAAACCTTACACATTGTTTGCCCTACCAATCTAGGGTTTTGGAGTGGTCTCCAGGACAGGATTAACACTAGGCTTCTTAGACCATCTCCAATGCAAAATACCATTTTTGCATGCCAAATTTATATTTTGAGAGGAGGTATAGTGTCAAAATGCTATATATTAGTAATTCTGCTCCAATGGTGCATTTAATCCAAAATGCTATTTTTTAACACAACAACCATTATTTTTCATAGGGCTGCAAATGAGCCGAGTCGAGCCGAGCCGAGCCGAGCCGAGCTTTACCTTGCTCGGGCTCGGCTCACCAGTTTCAGGAGATTGCTCGGGCTCGGGCTCAGGCCTTGCCTTCAAACCAAAATTGAAAAAAAAAAAAAAAACGAAAAGCTTCAGATCTAATAATGTTTTGACAATGGATCGAAGAGCATCACCTTCTGATCTCCCCAACACTAAAATGGGATTCACACATCGGGATCCAAAGAGAGATTTGAGAGAGAGGTCTATTGGAAACCCTCACTGTAAGAGGGAGGAAGCCATGATGTATCGATGTTGAAAGGGATGGGATGTTGCAAGATTTGTTTAGGGTTTCATAGCAGATATTGCAGAGATTTGTGGGATACAGTGGCCGAGTGCTAGAGAGGAAGAAGAGAGGAGCGATGCTGTGAATTTTGTTACGGCTCCTGTAATGAATTAGGGCAGAAAATCCGTGATATAAAGAGAGAGAGAGATATACATATATACATATATAATGATGATAGGGTTAGGTTAAGTAGAGTTGGGCTTAAGGTGAAATAAAATTGGGGTTAAAGTTAAATGAAATTGGGCTTTATATGTATTTAGATTGGCCAGCTTTATATTAAATGGGTCACACAATTGTATATGAGTATAAAATAAAAATTAATCATTTTACTAAACGAGCTTGTTCACGAGTCTAAAAAATGCGCTCAAGCTCGGCTCGTTTACTTCACAAACAAGTCCGAATTGAGCTTTTAATGAGCTGAGCCCAAATTGTTCATGAACAGCTCGGTTCATTTGCAGCCCTAATTTTTCAACTACCATTCCCTACTTCAATTTTTAACAACCATTTTTTTTTTTTTTTTTTTTGAGTGTTTTTATTTTATTTAGCTTATTTGCCTTATTAAAAATAAATAAATAAAAACACTGACATATATATATATATATACACAAGCACAACAGACATATATATATATACACAACAGACATATATATACACATATATATATACACACAACAGGCATATACATATATACACACTCAACACTGACATATATTTATATATATATATATACACAAGCCCAACACCAAATTGGCAGCCCATGCGAGAGAGAAGAGAGAAGGAAGAGAGCAGTAGCAGATTTGGCAATAGCTATATGTTGTGTTATATTTTGGCACAACATTTGGCAAAGTTATATTTTGGCACCCATTTGGCATGCCATTGGAGAGCCCATTTTAAACCCACATGCTATATTTTGAAATAGCAACCCAAATAGCAGCCCATTGGAGTTGCTCTTAACTTTGCTGCCTTGGACTTGAATTTTTCACTTGACAGTTGCACAAAGTAAATCCCTCGTTGTGAAATAAGCAATTGTGTTTATACACATGCAAACACATTGAACAAAAAGTTCATGTGCTACAGAGTGCAGGTGAGTGCGGCAATTTTTGTTCGGATCTAGTATAATACCATTAAAATATCCAAAATTTGTGGCACTTCTCTTTCTTGATTGCAATATCTTTATTTGTAGCTTAGCTTTGAATATCATTCTCTTGAATGTCATGGACGGCATAGAATAAAGTTTTTTATGTATGGTTAATGGGAATAACAACTTGTTGCACTTTGTCTAAAACTTCTGGCTCCGGGAAAAAAAATACAGATTCTTTGTGAAATGTTCTCGAACATTGGAGCACAATGGCCCATGTGATGAGCTATGAACAGCTTTTATGAGGCAAATATTGCTTGTCTTCTTCATTAAAAGCTAATAAATCAACTGCTAAAAGATCATGTTATAATTTAGGGAAAAAAAAAAAAAAAAAACCAACCTTACCGCCTGTTTCTGCTTTTGTATAGTCATCAAGTCGACCACAACATCTAAGTCCACAAGGCCATATTCTTGAGGCAGCTATTGAAGCAGCAGCAACTGCAACTATCAATATCAAGGATAGTTTGAATGAATGGGATAGCAAAGTCGGTGATGGTGACTGTGGGTCAACGGTGAGTTGAGTAATTAGACTAAATTGTCATATGTGTACTGGTTGATGCACAGTTAGTCAGGTCTGATACTTTGTGTCTTTGCAGATGTTTAGAGGCGCAACAGCTATTCTTGAAGACATGAAAAAGCAGTAAGTTCTTTTTTCAGTTTTCTTTCTTTTTATGATTTTGTTGTACATTTTTCTCGTGAAGGAAACTAATTCATTTGGTCAAGGATATGAGCTTATAGCTAAAATCAAATACATCATTTGACAATTACTGTGTCCTTATGCAAGTGTTTTAATTATGTTATTCATATCTGCCACGATCGGTAAACAAATAGTTGAGAGAATTAATACATGTTAAAGGAGTACCATTGTAATTTTAGTAGTTTCGAGCAAGTATAAACAAAAGCTAACCAAATCAAGGGTTTACCTTTGTTTTCCATTTTTGCCACAGCTCTTAACTCTAAACTGTAGTCTTTGATATATTGCATTTAGAACATGGTATCAGGGCCCATCAAACAAGAGACTGTAGTTGGGTTAATTGGTTGTTATCCATCTACTTTTCTTTCTGCATTATCTTTTTCCCTTTTTCTGTTGGCTTCACTTCTGTCAAAGACTCAAAGAATAACAAGCAGTGCTTGATGCTGGGATTTTCACCGTAACCCAAGGGTTTGTAGGTCATTTGAATTCCACTACTGTATTTTGCATTTAGACTCTTTTCTCTTTCTTGATAGTCATTCAATGTATACATCTAAAATTCTTGACCTTTATTGCAATGTTAAGCTCTCTCGCGGAATGACCTTTACAATATTTTGCACATTAGTCAATAAACTATTCTAAACAGCTCAGAAAAAGAAATCATTGACTCATATTAAATCTAGATTTCAAATGTATATCTCTTTTTTTAAATAGATATCCGCTTTCATAAGATCAGAATGCACTGCAAAATCTGACGTAGTTTTCCAAGTGTCAAACCTCTCTCCGAATTTGTGTTCGCAACACTCCATTTCACACCCTATGTGGAAGTATCTGAGACACTTAGCTCACAAGCTATCACTTTATATTTGTTGCGCTGCTCCCAATTTTGTGAATATGAACTGTGGCATTTAAAACTGCAGTTACTGCACCGAGTGTAGCATATATGTCTTCCTTGCATCAACATTAAAATATCTTCTTGGCTGCATGATACTAAATGTATAATAACACTTATATGAATTCAAGTAGAAGGTTATGGCAATGTAAGCACTGTAATACACTAAAAGAATCCTTAAGACTGACATATGATTGTTGCGACTTTTCCTTTTTTTGTTTGACATATTGTTAGTTATTTTTCAAGAGCTTTGATGGATGTTTTGGAAGTGATCACAAATCAAGGTTTTGCATAACTCATCTTCATCACTTGTTTTCTGTTTTCCAGTTATCCTTTAAATGATGATGCAGAAACAGTGAATGAAATTGGATCTTCTATCCGAAGAGTTATGGGAGGAACAAGTGGCATCCTGTAACATATGTTCCCTACCTTCTAATTTTTGGGCTTTGTTTTTCATGCCTTTTATATTGTTTTTTCTTGTTTAGTCTTGATTCTTTGCATCTACCATTGAAACAGATACAATATATTCTTTAAAGCAGCATATGCACATTTGAAGGCAAACAACAACTCAGTTGTTACACCAGTGCAATGTGAGATGGTCTTAATCCAATAATTTTCAAACTTGCACACCCTTAATGACTTCTCATTTAATGACTCTTTTTTCGTTCTCAGGGGCTGATGCACTTGATGCTGCCATTGCTGCAGTCAGTAAATATGGAGGGGCTAGTGCAGGTTATCGCACATTGTTAGATGCCCTTATTCCAGCATCATCAGTTCTTAAAGAGGTCATTAGTGATGTCAGTGATCTTTTAACATTTTCAGTTGACTTGGCTGTGTACTAATATAGTAATTTTCACAAACAGAGGTTAAGAGCTGGTGATGATCCGGTCAATGCTTTTGTTCTCTCTTCTCAAGCAGCATTGGATGGTGCAGAGTCTACTAAACACATGCAGGCTCAGGTGACATTCTAGTTGATATTCAACCTATATTTTTCAGACAAAGAAGCAAAAGAACTCTTATGTGATAGTGCAAAGCATGATGTATACTGGAAATGATACGACGGGAGAAATTTTTTGCTGGCAAATTGCTTACTGAAAAGTGGACAATGCAGAAGCATTCTTTTGACAAAATTAGTGTGAAACTTTAGTAGAAAAACAGTGCAAGGATTTTGTTCTCCCATGAATCCCATCAGGTGTGAAATGAGTTGGTAACAATGTGTTTTAGTTTGTTAAAGAAATATAACTAGAAAGATACGGGGAATGGTAAATTTTTAAAAGTTACATGCATAATAACTTTTCTAATGCTAGGTGTCATTTAAGTTATAAATCTCATCTAAAGACAACAATTATTATGGGGTGTGAGTTTTTCAATTTTGATTACTTATATGGCTTTCACGCACTAGCACATGCAGTAAAATTTTTTGAGGCGTGGCAATTTTAAAATTTTAAAGAATTATACATAAAAAAATGAAATTATCTAAAAGTTGAGGGGGGCAATTTTAAAAATTTAAAGAATTATACATACAAAAATGTAATTTTTTAAAAGTTGAGGTGGGGCGCATGCCCCCCCGGGCCTTAACTACCTCCGTCTACGGTCACCCACCCTCCCATCACACCCATACTGAAACCGGATCATTCATGTGGAGTTATAGGAGTTTCCAAGCTATAAGGCAACAAAAATAACTTGGATGTTTGATATACTTGGACTAATGAATAGAGATATAAGAAACCAAGAGCAGCTTTTATTTTGCATCAAGGCCTCTCAATTTCTCTTATTTATTGATTTATTTTGGTTCTTTACTGTAAAGAATTCTGCAAGTGTTGTGTTTTTCGGCCTTATATGCATCAATCTAAGCTTTAAAAGGAAACAATTGGTGTGGAGTTCAAACTTTAATGCTGCTCGGAATGAGTTCAGGAACTCTAGGGCGTTCTCCGGTCCTTTCCTGCACCCCACGTGACTGGAATCAGCATAGGTTAATGATTTTTTTTTTTTCTTTCATTTTCTTATATATATGTGTGTGCGCCAATAATTCTTATCTAGGGTGATGTGATGTAGATTGTGTATGTTGCATCTTTTTGCTTGTATTTGGCTGACTATTTTCTTTTTATTTATTAGGGAAAAAAAAAGAAAAAGAAAGTCTTGCTAATTTGTCTAATTGTGTTTCCCCCCATAATGATATTAACATAATCAATAAGAAAAACAATTAAATAATAAGTATTCAGGATGACAATCTTGAACTGTTGATCACATTTGAATCTATATGTTGATGTGATTAGTCTTTTTCCTGAAAGTTGCTTTTCAAATATTTATGCACTTGTTTCCTTTTATATGAAGATCTAATGAGTTAGTTTTGTAGGCTGGCCGTTCAACATATGTGTCGGGAGAGATCCTTTTGTTGGTTCCAGACCCAGGTGCCATGGCTGCAGCTTCGTGGTATAGAGCAGCAGCCTTAGCAGTCCAGGACAAGTGCCGGGCCTCCTAAACATTTGGATCTAGCTATCTCCATGCTCCTTTTTGGCAGAATTAATGCAGTAAATTTTTGTTCACACTGAACACTCTTTAACATTGGCTTTCCGCTTATGCGATCTTCGTGTAAAGCTGAGAAAGAGAGATCAACCATACATGTTTTAAAGTGCCATGGTGAATCTAAGATCTGAAATTAACTAAATTATAAGTTAATTTCAAAATTTGAGCAACGAGCTGTAACTTTTACAATGTTGATTATTTCTAATTCTAACTATTATAAGCATAAATCAAAAACTTTAAACACATTAATGTGGAATCTGCTTTGGTGTTTAATACGGTTTGTTTGATGTCATTATTCTTCTCACTTTTTCCTTTTGCCATTTCTCATCTTCATTCGCAATGTCTTATACTGTTATATGGTTTCAATACAGGATTCTGGTATTCTGTCAGCATGTCAATACTCGGCTTTTCACTCTCGTTTTCAACGAGTTAGAACGAGAAGATATTGCAAGTGTTGTCACAATCACAAAACTGGCAATATCTTCTTGTTCGAACTTGTTGAAGCGAGAGAGTGAAAAGCCGAGTATTCATCCTTTATGGTCTTTTAGCTAATACTTGTTTTTCTTGAATTGTCAGCCCTTTTCTGGCAGGGCGGGGAGTTATCTTGAATTGTGTTGGTGGTGGTGGCCTTATCCATGTAGTATATATTGTGGTTTAGAGGTGGCAGTTACCTTACTGGGTTTGGTGTAATGATGTGTATGTAGGTTGTGACGGTGGTCGTCAGCCCCATTGTGTTGCGGTGTTATGATGGTATCATGGTAATGATTTTGGTTGTGAATGTTATTAGGTGGTATTGGGGTAGGTAAGGCAAAGGCCATGATATATATCTATATATCTATACACACACACACACACGTGTGTGTTGCCTTGTGATGTGGGGTTAGGGACATTTGTTGTTATCTGAGTAATTATTTTTATGTGAAGTGTTGAGATTAAGAAAAACGAACTTCACTTGGATGGAAGTATTTGAAAGTTGGGCTTCATATACGTATATGTCTTAAAAGTGTGCGTGTAAATTAGTTTGAAAGTGTTATTTTCGTGGATTTTGATTTAGTGATATTTATTTAATCTCGAATATTTGATAATTAATAATATAAACGACTCTGTGATATACGCGGAAACGGTGTTTGGGTTGTAAAAATTAAAAAACTGATGATAATGGTTTTATTTCAAAATTGGAAAGAACCGAATGTTTAAGATATATATATATATTGAATTTTATTAATATGAAATATAACTTACCATATACACTACAATACAAAGGATAATCATATATATATATCTACACATTTCGATTTTTTGATTTTTAATTTGGTTAATTTGAATACAAATATTTTATATAAGAAAGTTAAAACAGTAAAACCGAACCAAATGAAATCAGAAAAAATGATTTTTAGTATCTTCGGAGCCTGTAGGTGTGTCTAAAAAAAATGATTTGACAGGTTGGAGTGTTTTTATTTTTATTTTTCAAAGAATTCTAATACCAACCAGTTCTTGTGGCTGCTGGAGCTACCTTTAGACTATGTGCCATTTGGATATGCAGAAAATTCGGTGAACAAAGAAAGAGATCAAAAGGTAATACAACTAATACTTAAGTTAAATTGTGAAGTTATTCAAATATATAAAATTAAATATATATTATTTTATATATAATATTACTCTTATATTTGTTCATTACAAAAAATGTGTTTAATGTCATTTTCTTTTTTCTTAAAGAAAAAAAGAAAAGAAGAGGTTGGACACTTTCAAATATGTTCATAATATCTTATATAACACCAAGAGTGTACAATGTGCTAGGTAAGTCTTCAAAATGTGTAGTCTATAGACCAAGTGTATAAAATGTGTCAGTTTAAGTATTTATAATAATTAATTAAAGTTCTTTTTAAATTAAGAACATGGTTAGACACGTAGAAAGAAGAAAGAGAACAGAAAAAGAAAAAAAAAAATTAAGTCAGTTTTCTTCAATGGGGCAATTGTAGCAGGCTGGGAGTTGAGGCTTAGGCCCCCAAACATGGGCCGTAAGACAGCCGTAAATGTTCGAAGACAAAAGCCACTAAATTCGGGCAAAAGCCCAACAATGATGAGGCCAGAGAGATGGGGAGATACCACAATTGCTTTAAATCATTCATTTGAAATCCTTTCCACAAATGGAGCCTATATATGCTACACATCAAACTACTATTATATTCCTAATTTTGATATGCTGTATATAAACCTCAACTAAATTTTATTGGGTAAATTACAGTGAACTCCCTGAGGTCTCGTCAATTTACAAAGGCTTTCTATCTTGTTTGTTAAATTACATTGTCCTTCCCTGTCAATGGATGCTATTAAGGAAAAGAGCAAAATTACAATTTTATCCTTACTTATTAATTTATTATTAAAAATATAAAACATAATGATGTAAATTACCAATGGTACCCTTTTTAAGATTTTTTTTTTTTCCTTCTCCTTTCCCACGGCCTTGCCATTGCCGACAAGCCCCCTCTCTCTCTCCTCCGTCCCCAACGGCTGGAGACGGGTGACGTCAACGGAAAAGAGCATGGACGGTGATGTGCTCGACGATGAAGTGTTAACAGCATCCTTAGAAATGCGCTACCTCGGAGAAGGCTATGCATCATGATAATTGAAAAAAAAAACCCCAAAAGTTGTATCTGTTCATAGAGAAAGAATAGGTTTCTCAAGCGTAAAGGAAATGGGTCTGCTCGTTGCATGAAGCGTTGCCGGAGAGGAGTGCACCGGAAAGACAACTTGCAAGACTGAAATGGGTTTACACCAAAACTATGAGCTTACCGTCACAATGGAGCTTTGCCGTTCGCCGTCCTAAGCTTCGCCGATGGATTCTTCATTCCTCGTCGGTGAGTTCTTCATGTCGCAGTTTCTCCTCCCCGGTAAGCTCCTTTACAGCTATTCATCATTTCTCGCCCTTGTTCTTGTTTGCTCGCCGGCCTATCCTTGCTAAATTCAGTGCTTGCATTACGGCCGGATCCTTACACTATGTTGGTTGGTTTAACAAATTTCAACTTTTTCAATTTTATCTGAATTAACATAAATTCAAAATATAAGAGAAAACTAGAAATTGCTCTAGGCAGTAGTGTGTCCAAATTTCTTACACTGAGCACATAGCTTAGGAATCCAAACATATTCAACTTAAATTTAATTTGCTTATGGTCATCTTTAATGTAGAAGCCAAAAGAAGAGTATGTGTTGGTTGCCCACTGTTATCATTTTGATGATGGGAGATGGAAGCTCAGGGGCGTTTTTTCCATTGAAAGGAATTTGGTGCTTAACCAAAAAGTTGAAATTTGTTACTACCTTCGCCGGAATCTCTCTAAACTGAAGCTCGTCAAACCCTGATTCGCCCTTCGCAGCCGCAGTGCGTATATATATAGATAGATATATATATGTGTGTGTATATGTATGTGTGTATATATATATATATATATATATATATATATATATATATATATTTATTTATGGATGAGATTGGTGTGTGTGCATCTATAGATATATATATGTGTGTGTGTGTACTGTATATAGATAGTTTAGACACATTGGGTGTTCTGGGTTTGTTGATATGAGGGCACCATTGTCCTTTTGAGTTTATAAGTCAAGGATAGTATTGTAAATTTGCAGTGATTATTGAGGTTAAAAATGTCATTTCAGGTATTAGAAGGGTAAAATTGTCTTTGTACTAATTTTTTCTGACGGATATAAGCATAAACCGTTAGTTGATTAACGGCAGGGGAAGTCCGTCTTATCAGTATATAAACTTCAAGGGAGGTCAGTGTTATTTGACAAACAAGAGGGGATGTCAATGTATAATGACGAAACCTCAAGGGAGGTTAGTGTAATTTACTCAACTTTATTGGTATTTGAGATTAGGGGTGGTAAACGGGCGGGTTGGGTCGGGTTTGGATATGGTTAAATATGGGCGATGACTCATATTCAATTCGTTTGTAACGAGTTAAAAATGGGTTGGGTGAAAATGAGTCGAGTCAACCCATCATGAACCGCCAACCCGTTTTGGGTGGGGGGGGGGGGGGGGGGGGGGGGGGGGGGAATTATTATTTTGGATAATCTCATTATTACAATTTTTATTTTTATTTTAGATGGATAAAAGTTTGTAAAAATATGTATAGATAATTGTAAATCTTCTAATTTATTTTAAAAATTCTTTAATTTTTATTTTGTGACTAGACAAGCATGAAGGTAAGATATTGTGTGTGTGTGTGTGTGTATATATATATATATATATGTACATATTATATGAAATTATATGTTAAGCTTTTATAGAATAAATAATTAGATAAATAAATCAGGTCGTCCTACTTTGAAAAACAGATGTAAACATAGGTTTCTTTCGAGCCATAGTACTACATATACGAGGAGTTCATGATGCAGAGAGAATCTTAGAGAGAGAATTTTAGAGAAAGATAGTGGGAGAGAAATTTTGTTTAGAAAGAAATAAGTGAATTTGAGTCAAATAGAGGTTGTGAAACTATGTCTCTTATATCATTGATGAAATATGGGTCAAAATGGGTGACCCATATTCAACCCATTTAACTCTCTATAAAAATGGGTTAATTATGGGTCACTCATTTTGACCCAAATTTTAAAATGGTTCACCTATATCCATTTTAAAACATACGGCCACCCTTATTTGAGATGCATGAAGCAACTTTGGTCACCAAAACAATCCCATAATAATCGAAGTGGAAAGTTACTGGACAAAATTAATACAAAATTTTAAAAATAAAGTTATGGGGATTGAATTGCACATCTATCTAGAGTCGTGATAAGAGTCTTGATATCTCCACAATTTCTGCTCTTAATCAAAATACAACGGCAGAAATTGTGGAGATCAAATTTAACTCAAAAACAATAAGATTATGGTGCATGTTAAAGCGATTGATTTAGTTTCAATACTACAAATGCAAGAAAATCTCTCCCTCCATTTTGACAGAATTTCAGTACATTTCACCATCATCCCCCCCTCTTTACTCCCTTCACTGCCTATTTATAGGCAATTACAGGTGCTGCTGGACTATCAACTTTGGGCCTTCTTTCCAGTGGGCTTGGCCTTATTCGGTGGATCCTCCGAGCTCGGCCCATTCTGCGGTGCTCCTGTATGGGCTGAATTCAATTGTTTGCCCCGATGCCACGTTCGCGGATCATAACCGGCCCATATTACTTATTGTATCCTTAACTGCCCCCATAATTACTCCCTAATAAATTATGGGGTAATTATTAGAGGCTGTTAATCATGGCTTGACGGCTCGAGAAGATCGC